AATAGCCCATCCAAAGTGACCACTCTCTTTACAATGTGTATGATAATCAAGGTGGGCCATTTCCAGCACAAATCCAGGTTTTCTCACACAATGCCATCCACAGCCTCAGAAACAACTCTGACATCATAATCAAAAAGGCTGACAAAGGAGGTGCTGTTGTCATCATGAATAGGTTGGAATATGAACAAGAGGCTGCTCGGCAGCTCTCCAACACCACTTTCTACAAGCCATTACCCTCTGATCCTACTGAGAGTTACCAAAAGCAACTACAGCATTTGCTCAAGAAACTTCCTGAAAAAGCACAAGATCAAATCCGCACAGATACACCCCTGAAACCCCGACCTGGGATATTCTATCTACTACCCAAGATCCATAAACCTGGAAATCCTGGGCGCCCCATCATCTCAGGCATTGGCACCCTGACAGCAGGATTGTCTGGCTATGTAGACTCCCTCCTCAGGCCCTACGCTACCAGCACTCCCAGCTACCTTCGAGACACCACTGACTTCCTGAGGAAACTACAATCCATCGGTGATCTTCCTGATGACACCATCCTGGCCACTATGGATGTAGAAGCCCTCTACACCAACATTCCACACAAAGATGGACTACAAGCCATCAAGAACACTATCCCCGATAATGTCACGGCTAACCTGGTGGCTGAACTTTGTGACTTTGTCCTCACCCATAACTATTTTACATTTGGGGACAATGTATACCTTCAGATCAGCGGCACTGCTATGGGTACCCGCATGGCCCCACAGTATGCCAACATTTTTATGGCTGACTTAGAACAACGCTTCCTCAGCTCTCGTCCCCTAACGCCCCTACTCTACTTGCGCTATATTGATGACATCTTCATCATCTGGACCCATGGAAAAGAAGCCCTTGAGGAATTCCACCATGATTTCAACAATTTCCATCCCACCATCAACCTCAGCCTGGTCCAGTCCACACAAGAGATCCACTTCCTGGACACTACAGTGCTAATAAACAATGGTCACATAAACACCACCCTATACCGGAAACCTACTGACCGCTATTCCTACCTACATGCCTCCAGCTTTCACCCTGACCACACCACACGATCCATCGTATACAGCCAAGCTCTGCGATACAACCGCATTTGCTCCAACCCCTCAGACAGAGACAAACACCTACAAGATCTCTATCAAGCATTCTTACAACTACAATACCCACCTGCGGAAGTGAAGAAACAGATTGATAGAGCCAGAAGAGTTCCCAGAAGTCACCTACTACAGGACAGGCCTAACAAAGAAAATAACAGAACGCCACTAGCCGTCACCTTCAGCCCCCAACTAAAAGCCCTCCAACGCATTATTAAGGATCTACAACCTATCCTTAAGGTTGACCCAACACCCTCACAAATCTTGGGAGACAGGCCAGTCCTTGCCTACAGACAGCCCCCCAACCTGAAGCAAATACTCACCAACAACCACATACCACACAACAGAACCACTAACCCAGGAACTATCCTTGCAACAAAGCCCGTTGCCAACTGTGCCCACATATCTATTCAGGGGACACCATCACAGGGCCTAATAACATCAGCCACACTATCAGAGGCTTGTTCACCTTCACATCCACCAATGTGATATATGCCATCAGGTGCCAGCAATGCCCCTCTGCCATTTACATTGGTCAAACTGGACAGTCTCTATGTAAAAGAATAAATGGACACAAATCAGTTGTCAAGAATTATAACATTCATAAACCAGTCGGAGAACACTTCAATCTCTCTGGTCACGCAATTACAGACATGAAGGTCGCTAACTTACAGCAAAAAAACTTCAAATCCAGACTCCAGCGAGAAACTGCTGGATTGGAATTCATTTGCAAATTGGATACTATTAATTTAGGCTTAAATAGAGACTGGGAGTGGCTAAGTCATTATGCAAGGTAGCCTATTTCCCCTTGTTTCCCCCCCCCCCCCAGACGTTCTGGTTAAACTTGGATTTATGCTGGGAATGGCCCACCTTGATTATCATACACATTGTAAGGAGAGTGGTCAGTTTGGATGAGCTATTACGAGCAGAAGAGTGAGTTTGTGTGTGGGGGTGGTGGTGAGAAGACCTGGATTTGTGCTGGAAATGACCCACCTTGATTATCGTGCACATTGTGGGGAGAGTGGTCGCTTTGGATGGGCTGTTACCAGCAGGAGAGTGAGTTTGTGTGTGTATGGGGGTGGGGGGATGAGAAAACCTGGATTTGTGCTGGAAATGGCCCACCTTGATTATCATGCACATTGTAGGGAGAGTGGTCACTTTGGATAAGCTATTACCAGCAGGAGAGTGAGTTTGTGTGTGTGTGTTTTTTGGGGGTGAGAAAACCTGGATTTGTGCTGGAAATGGCCCACCTTGATTTTCATACACATAGTAAAGAGAGTGGTCACTTTGGATGAGCTATTACCAGCAGAAGAGTGAGTTTGTGTGTGTGTTGGGGGGGGGGGGGTGAGAAGACCTGGATTTGTGCTGGAAATGGCCCAACTTGATTATCATACACATTGTAAGGAGAGTGATCACTTTAGATAAGCTATTACCAGCAGGAGAGTGGGGTGGGAGGAGGTATTGTTTCATTGTCTCTGTGTATATAATGTCTTCTGCAGTTTCCACAGTATGCATCCGATGAAGTGAGCTGTAGCTCACGAAAGCTTATGCTCAAATAAATTGGTTAGTCTCTAAGGTGCCACAAGTACTCCTTTTCTTCTTTTGAATATATTACTTTTAGATACGTTCTTTTAAAAATTGCATTTGCACCTATGTATTACAGCTTTGAGAAAATAACTTCCAACATCCTCTATTGCTTTAAAATGTCTTTTTTTTTTTCAGTTGATACTAAATTTAAGTGAAGAACAACAACATGAGTTGAATATATTGCCATTTTCCATAATAAGTTTTTTTTTTCTCTCTCTCTTAAACAGTCACCTCTTCTTGTTCCCTGGGCCAGACCAGTTGCCAGCTCATGCCAAGGCCTGTCGGCTTCATTGAACACTGACAAATACAGGAGTACCTGTGGCACCTTAGAGACTAATCAATTTATTTGAGCATAAGCTTTCGTGAGCTACAGCTCAGTTCAGAGTGCCACAAGTACTCACCTATGTGTTAGTATTGTTAAAATAGGTATTAGATTTATAAAAATGTCTGCAGACTTTGTGAAATGCTTGTAGGTTGCTGCATGTATTACTCTTATTTATAACATCTGTTCCCTATGTTATAAGCTAGTGTTTAAGTGTTTGCTCTGTACCTATAGAAGTGTTTGCTCTAAAACTGTAAACCTCACAATCAGGAGAGAATAGGGTTGCCAGACGTATGGTTTCCGTTCAAAATCCAGTTGGTAGCACAGCAGAGGCCTGGGGCTAAGGCAAGCTCCCTGCCTGCCCTGGCTCCACGCAGCTCCCGGAAGCAGCTGCCCGGTCCTTGCGGCCCCAAAGCGCATGGGCGGCCAGGGGGGCTCCGCGCACTGCCCCCACCCCAGTGCCAGCTCCACAGCTCATATTGGCCGGGAACTGCGACCAATGGGAGCTAAGGGGGCAGCACCTGCAGGCACAAGGGCAGCGCACGGAGCCTCCCTGGCTGCCCTGAGTCTAGGGGCTTCCAGGACCTGGCGGCCATTTCCTGGAAGTCACAGTAAGCGCTGATGGAACCCCACAAACGCAACCTCCTGTCCCAACCCTGAGCCTGCTCCTATACCCCAAATCCAACATCCCTGGCCCCACCCCAGAGCCCACAGCCCCATCCAGAACCCTCACCCCCCCTGCACCCCAATCCCCTGCCCCAGCCTGGAGTCCCCTCATGCACCCCAAACCCTTCATCCCCACCCCCACCCCAGAGCCCCCAGCTGGAGCCCTCCCCTCAACCCAACCTCCAGCCCAGAGCCCCCTCCTTCTCCCTAAACCCCTCATCCCAGGCCCCACTCCAGAGCCCACACCCCCATCTGGAGTCCGCACCCCCTCTCGCACTCCGAACCCCTCAGACCCAGCCCAGAGCCCCATCTTGCACTCCAAACTCCTCACTCTGGCCCCACCCCAGAGCCTGCACCCCCAGCAGGAGTACTCACCCCCCACACCCCAACCCTCTGCCCCAGCCCGGAGCCCTCTGACGCACCCTGAACCCCTCATCCCTGACCCCACACTCCCAGTTGGAGCTCGCACCCCAACCGCTTGCCCCAGCCCGGTGAAAATGAGTGAGGGTGGGGGAGAGCAAGTGATGGAGGGAGGGGGGATGGAGCAAGTGAGAGCAGGGCCTTGGAGAAGGGGCAGGGCAGGGGCGGGGCCACGGGGCAGGGGTGTTTGATTTTGGGCCATTAGAAAGTTGGCAACCCTAGGAGAGAAGCATTACCAAGTATGAAATACTAGCTTATCACAATTAGTGTCCTCTCCTCTCTAACAAAAGAAGGCCCATAGACACCAGACAAGCCACTGTGGAATATCAGTGAATAAAAGACTTTGTTGATTGCTCTCCCCACTCATGAAGGTCTGGTCTACACTATGGGGTTAAGTCGAATTTAGCCGCGTTAGGTCGATTTAAAAATGACTGAGTCCACGCAACCAACCCCATTCCGTCGACCTAAAGGGCTCTTAAAATCGACTTCTGTACTCCTCCCCAATGAGGGGAGTAGCGCTAAAATCGACCTTGCTGGGTTGAATTTGGGGTAGTGCAGATGCAAATCAACGAAATTGGCCTCCAAGAGCTATCCCAGAGTGCTCCATTGTGACCGCTCTGGACAGCACTATGAACTCCGATGCACTAGCCAGGTACACAGGAAAAGCCCCGGGAACTTTTGAATTTCATTTCCTATTTGGTCAGTGCGGCGAACTCAGCAGCATAGGTGACCATGCAGTCCCTCAGAATTGCAAACGAGCTCCAGCATGAACCAAAAGGGAGACACTGGATCTGATTGCTGTATGGGGAGAAGCATCTGTGCAGGCCAAACTCTGATCAAAAAGAAAAAATACAAATATATTTTTCAAAATCTCACAGGGCATGTTGGACAGAAGCTACAACAGGGACACACAGCAGTACCACCTGAAAGTTAAGGAGCTCAGGCAAGCCTACCAAAAGACAAAGGAGGTAAACGGTCGCTCCGGGTCAGAGCCCCATACATGCCACTTCTATGATCAGCTGCATGGCACTCTGGGGGGGACCCTACCACTACCCACCACTGTCTATGGACATCTGCAAGGGGGGAGTCTCATGCAACAGGGAGGAGGATTTTGTGGATGAGGAAGAGGAGGGGGAGGAGAATGCTCAGCAGGCAAGCGGTGAATCCATTCTCCCTGACAGCCAGGACCTTTTCGTCACGCTGGAGCCAATACCCTCCTAAGGTGGGATCCCCGACTCTGAAGCTGGAGAAGGCACCTCTGGTGAGTGCACATTTGTAACTATAGTACAAGGTTTAAAAGCAATAGGGTTTAATGTTTGATTTGCCCTGAAGAATTGAGATGCATTCACGGCCAGTACAGCTACTGGAAAATTCTGTTCATATGTCTGGGGATGGAATGGGAATCCTCCAGGGACATCTCCATGAAGCTCTCCTGGCATGTCATAAATACAAAGGGAAGGGTAAACACCTTTAAAATCTCTCCTGGCCAGAGGAAAAATCCTTTCACCTGTAAAGGGTTAAGAAGGTAGGATAACCTCCCTGGCACCTGACCAAAATGACCAATGAGGAGACAAGATACTTTCAAAAGCTGGAAGGAGGGAGAAAAACAAAGGGTCTGTGTCTGTCTGTGTGATGCTTTTGCCGGGGACAGAACAGGAATGGAGTCTTAGAATTTAGTAAGTAATCTAGCTAGATATGTGTTAGATTATGTTTTCTTTAAATGGCTGAGAAAATAAGATGTGCTGAATAGAATGGATATTTCTGTCTGTGTATCTTTTTGTAACTTAAGGTTTTGCCTAGAGGGATTCTCTGTATTTTGAATCTAATTACCCTGTAAGGTATTTACCCTCCTGATTTTACAGAGGTGATTCTTTTTTACTTCTATTAAAATCCTTCTTTTCAGAAACTGAATGCTTTTTCATTGTTCTTAAGATCCAAGGGTTTGGGTCTGTGGTCACCTATGCAAATTGGTGAGGATTTTTACCAAACTTTCCCTAGGAAGTGGGGTGCAAGGGTTGGGAGGATTTGGAGGGGAAAGAGGTTTCCAAACAACGCTTTCCTAATAAATAAACCCAGATAAACGTTTGGTGGTGGCAGTGGAAGTCCAAGGGCAAAGGGTAAAATAGTTTGTACCTTGGGGAAGTTTTAACCTAAGTTGGTAAAAGTAAGCTTAGGAGGTTTTCATGTAGGTCCCCACATCTGTACCCTAGAGTTCAGAGTGGAGAAGGAACCTTGATATGGCGGTACTCTGAAAGCCTTTGCAGAAGGTTTCTGGGGAGGGCTGCCTTATTTCATCCTCCACGGTAGGACACTTTACCACGCCAAGCCAGTAGCAAGTATTCTGGAATCATTGCAGCACAAAGCATGGCAGTGAATGGTCCTCAGTTTTGGTCACATTCAAGCAACATTTGGTCTATATCTTTCTGTGTTATCCTCAGTAGAGTGATATCATTCATGGTCACCTGGTTGAAATAGGGAAATGTTTGTAAGGGAACAGTGAAAGGACCCCATTCATGCTGGGCTGTTTGCGCTTGGCTGAAAGGGATCATCCCAGAGAATAGCCACGCGGTGGGGTGGGGGTAGGTGTGTGCTGCATATCCACCCGAAAACCGCAGCCCCTCCTTTTAAATGTGAAACCCAGATGGGTTGGGTTTCACATTTAAAAGGAGGGGCTGCGGTTTTGGGAAAGGTTTTTTGCTTGTTCTGGGAAAGGAGGGTGCTGCAGTTTGAAAACATTCCCACATGTTATGAAGGTGTAAGAAGCCAACCCTATGTACCAAAAGGCTTACCATGGCTGCCTGGAAACCGAATTCTGTTGCCCAGCCATGTGTGATGTGTCACCATAGCGGCAGGCGCTCAATATAAAAGGCAAAATGCGACCTTGTACCTAAAGCACATGTGCTGTGAATTGCTTGATTCACTGTGAAAGAGTCTCCCTTTTGTTCTCAGAAATGTATCATCTTAAATTTTACTCTCCCTTTTTATCTCCCCCCAGGTGCAAATGTTTCTACGCTCCCCCTATCATCTCTCTCCCTGAGGTTATCACAGATTAGAAGGCAAAAAAAATGCACTCGCGATGACATGTTTTCCAAGCTCATGCAGTCCTCCCACACTGATAGAGCACAGCTTCATGCATTCAGTGGCAGAGGCCAGGAATGAATTAAGTGAGTGCAAAGAGTGGAGGAAACATGCGATGCTGAGGCTAATGGGGGAGCAAACAGACATGATAAAGCAGCTATTGTGGGAGCAAACTGACATGATGAAGCATCTGTTGGAGCTGCAGGAAAGCCAACAAGAACACAGACTCCCGCTGCATCCACTGTATAACCGCATGCCCTCCTCCCCAAGTTCCATATCCGCCTCACCCAGACGCCCAAGAACGCGGGGAGGGGAGGCTCTGGGCACCCAGCCACTCCACTCCAGAGGATGGCCCAAGCAACAGAAAACTCCCATTCAAACAGTTTGATTTTTAGTGTGGCTGCAATAAACAATGTGGTCTTGTCCTTCCCTCCTCCCCCACCGCACCCAGACTACCTTGTCCGTTCTCTCTTTTTTTAAAAAATTAATAAAGAAAAAATGCATGGTTTCAAAACAATAGTTACTTTATTTCGAAGTGGGGAGGGGGTCGGCTTACAGGGAATTAAAATTAAAAAAGGGGGTGGGTTTGCATAAAGGAGAAACACACACAACTATCCCACCAAAGCCTGGCCAGTCATGAAACTGGTTTTCAAAGACTCTCTGATGCGCAGCGCGCCTTGCTGTGCTCTTCTAATCACCCTGGTGTCTGGCTGCTCAAAATCGGATGCCAAGCAATTTGCCTCAACCTCCCACCCCGCCATAAACGTCTCCTCTTTACTCTCACAGATATTATGGAGCACACAGCAAGCAGCAATAACAATGGGAATGTTGGTTGCGCTGAGCTGTGACCTAGTCAACAAACAGCGCCAGCGAGCTTTTAAATGTCCAAAGGCACATTTTACCACCGTTCTGCACTTGCTCAGCCTATAGTTGAACTGCTCCTTACTACTGTCCAGGCTGCCTGTGTAAGGCTTCATGAGCCATGGGAGCAAGGGGTAGGCTGGGTCCCCAAGGATAACTATTGGCATTTCAACATCCCCAACGGTAATTTTCTGGTCTGGAAAGTAAGTCCCTTCTTGCAGCTGTTCAAACAGCCCGGAGTTCCTAAATATGCGAGCGTCATGCACCTTTCCCATCCATCCCATGTTGATGTCAGTGAAACATCTCTTGTGATCCACCATTGCTTGCAGCACCATTGAGAAGTACCCCTTGCGGTTCACGTACTGGTTGGCAAGGTGGTCCGGTGCCAAGATGGGGATATGCGTTCCGTTTATCGCCCCACCACAGTTAGGGAACCCCATTGCAGCAAAGCCATCCAGTATGACCTGCACATTTCCAAGAGTCACTGGCCTTGATAACAGAACGTCAATGACTGCATTGGCTACTTGGATCATAGCAGCCCCCACAGTAGACTTGCCCACTCCAAATTGATTCCCGACTGAGCGGTAGCAGTCAGGTGTTGCAAGCTTCTACAGGGCTATCACCACTCGCTTCTCAACTGTCAGGGTGGCTCTCATCTTGGTATTCCTGTGCTTCAGGGTGGGGGAAAGCAACTCACAGAGTTCCAGGAAAGTGGCCTTAACGCATGAGAAAGTTTCACAGCCACTGGGAATCATCCCATACCTGCAACACAATGCGGTCCCACCAGTCTGTGCTTGTTTGCCTGCCTCTGCTCACTCCATCCCCCCTCCCTCCATCGCTCGCTCTCCCCTCACTCCCCGCTCACTCACTCATTTTCACCGGGCTTGGAAGGGGGTTGGGATGTGGAAGGGGATGTGGACTCCGGGAGGGAGTTCGGGTGCAGGAGTGGGTTCTGAGCTGAGACAGGGGATGGGGGCACAGAAATGGGCTTGGGGTGCAGGCTCTGGGCAGCTCTTGTTGGTGGGTTTGCGGGTGCTCCAGGAGGCACTGATGTCAGGCGGACCCTTAAATAGAAGTCACACCAGCGCTGCCCTGGTATTTTCTGGCCTCAAATGCTGCTCTATCTGCCATGAATCCTGGATACATGGCTGGGCCAGAACACTGAGGACAAAAGTTTTTCCTGTTCTCTGGAATGCAAGGGGTGGGGGAGAGGGAGAGAATTCCACGCAAGTGACACACACACATATGCCCCTGGCTCGCTGCACCCCCAGTGTATTCCATATCACAGCAACTCCAGGGAGAGAGCTGCTGCAGACCCCCTTCTACTCCTCCTGCCATTTGTAGTGACCCCCAGCCCCTCTCCTTCGTCCCCCCCAGCCCAGCTGTTGGCTGGGGCCTCCCTCCGACTCTGCTTGGACCCATTCCCGGGGACAGCAGCCCAACTTTAGCCCCATGCTTCTACACAGCCCATTCATCCCCAGGAGGAGACTGACAACACCACAGCCCCTTACCTGCTGGTCACAAGGTCCCGAGACAAGCCTGCCCTGGCCCCCTCCTCTGACGCAGGCTGCATGCAGCCTGGGAGGAGCTTGGCCACCCCCTCTTTCTGCTCCCACTGGCCGGGAAGCAGCAGGCCAGACACAGAGGAGGGCTGAAGGCACTTTCTAAAGGCCACAATGCCAGCTCCGCAGGGAGCCCCAGGCCATCAGGGCGGCAGTTGCCCAGGGTTAACCCTGCTGGCCCGAGCCTGCAGCTGAATGCCTTTCCCAGCTCCTCCGCTGGGATCCACCGGGGTTCGCACCGCCCCTGAGCTCCACAGAGAGAGCTGCTGCAGGTCCCCTCTTCATCCCTCCATTGCCAACTGAATGTTTAACAGCCCAGAGCTGCCAGGGTCCCTTTTTGACCAGACGTTCCAGTTGAAAACAGGACACCTGACAACCTAATGCTGGGGACACCCGTGGGCATAGTTTGAGGAGACAGGGAGGATATTGCCCCCCCAAACAAAGAGAGGTGAAGTACCACTGCCCTCCCACCCCCATTTGCGTGAACGCAGAGCTGCTCGGATGAGGGAGGGTGCCGCTCAGCTCACTAGCTCTGCAGCTGGCATCCCTTCAGCGGCAGCAGCAACAGGGACTTCCCCATTAAGCAGGCCTGATGAGAGCCCCCTGCACCTGGACCACCCCGACGAGCTCCCTGCATCCAGACCTCCCACCCCACTAAGACCCAGACAGCTGCACCCAGAACCCCCCAGCTGAGCTCCCCACACCCAAACCCTCTCTGCTGAGCCCCATCCCCCCACACCCAGAGCTCCAACCACTTCATCTTGACCCCCCTGCAGAGTCCCATTACCTCTGCACCTGGCCCACCCTGATGAGCCCCCACACCCAGACCCTCTCTGCTGAGCCTTATTCCCCCACACCCAGACTCCTGCACTGAGCCCCAACCACTTCACCTGGAATCCCCCAAAGAACCCTGTGCATCCAGATCTCCCACTGAGCTGCCTGCACCCAGACTGCCCCACACAGAACCCTCACACCTGGATCCCCCCTCATTAAGTCCCTCCACTCTTGGATTCTGCTTGGCTGAGTCTGCCTGCCCACCCAAATTTGGTGCACCTGGCACGGAGGAGCAGGAGAGGTGTTTCTGGGGCAGGCCCGCCCTTGCGCTGTGTCAGCGTTAGGTGCAGCCTCCCTGCCAAAGTCCCTGTCCCGGTGGGAGCGGGGAAGCAGCAGGGTGATCTCCCATCTCTGTGCAGCCAGTGGCCTGTGCTCCCCACTGCCATGCTGGAACCTCCACATTCATTTATTGACAAATAAAACTTGCAGAATTTTAAAATGTGCTCAGAATTTTTATTTTTTGGTGCAGAATTCCCGCAGTAGTAAGTCTTTGTCCAACCCAGTTTTCATTTGTGAGAAATAATTTAAAATTACCTTTTCACTTACAGATCAAATTGAATTTCAGTCAGTTTAAGTCACTTGACTTTTTATGCAGTTCCTGCTTGTTGTTAAAAATACTGTTGCTAATTTTCTTAGCTTTAAGATGTAGATGCTCATCCCTGAAGATAAAAACAACATAGTTCTGACTTAAATAACTATATTCCCAGACAATAGTGTTACTGTCATAGAGGATTTAGATATCCTATGGCATTTCTAAGAGTTATTAAAATGTTCTCTCATTTAATGAACTTTCAAAATAATAAAAATTAACTGAAATACATTTGCAGGCATCAAGTTCTAGATTTCATACTTCTCCAGTTCTTATATACCACTTTACAGTATTTTTAAAGTACCACCACTTCACACTATACGCAATGGATAACTGCCAGTCACATGGTGACAGATTCCATCATAACTGTTTGTCTAATATCAAACAGTCCCTGCTATCAGCAACGTCATCACATGAATGTGTTTGGTCTACTTAACAACTCTATCTACTCATTTACAATAAGATCGTATAACATAGGCACTGAACTTTTATCTGTGCTAGAAAACTGGATTCGTTAAATTGAACTGTTTGTATTTAAACAGGTTAAGCAAATGGTTAAGTGTATCCACACCAACCATTCTCAGTTATGTTAAGAACCTTTGCAGGTATGGCCCAGGCACTCAACTAAACCATCGCTCTCTGGATAGTTATTGCAGCACAACTCCCAAAAGTAATATATTCTAGGAGATTTTTAAAAAGCTACCAGTGTACTGAGATAGTAGTGAAAAGACTAGAATGGTTTCAGCTAGTGTGCATCAACACTAGAACTAAAACAAACAGTTCAGACTAAAACAGTACCTAAATCCACTAACGCAGTCTTAGCCAAGTGGTATTAGTACACCTGTTAAATTTTGGAACACGTTGTGTTTGATCACTTGTTTTAGAGGGAGCAAATAGTATTGAATAAAGTACATTTCTCTAGAGTAGATTTAACTTGAGATTAAACCCTTCATGGTCTGATTTTCAAATTGTACATTTTTAAGCTCAAAAGTATGTGGATTTTTTTCTGCGGCTCATCCATCAGGACTGTTCTTTTAAACTGTTATAAGGTTAAGTAATTTGTTTCTCACTTGAACCTGTTAATTTGTTTTAAAAAAAATTAGTAATATTTGAGTCTCATATATTTGTACTGTATTACCGTACTGCCAAGCGATCCCAATCAAATTTGGGACCCTATTGTGCTGGACACTGTATAAACATAAAATAAATGACATCCTATTTACTTTAAACTCCTCTTCCTACAGGTACTTGTGTTCACTATTTATAGATGGTCTTGGAACAATGTCCACAATAAGGAGCTCCATACA